ACAGAGGAATATTATAACAAATTAGAGAAGGTGTGTTTTCAGACACCTCCTGAAAGCTGTGAGAGTATGGCAGTTTTTTTTATACAGGGGGTGGGGGGAGTTCACGGGGTTTTTTTTTTGGGGGGGGGGCAATAACTGAAAAAGCCCCATCATCTTAAAAACGAAAATGCAGAATTTAAAGTTATGTTATTTGATCAAAATGGATTTTACGAAAAATGTAGGCCTACGAATATAAAGACTTTAGTATGTGTACGAATATGATTTCATGAATTAAATAAAATCTTCGGATATATTAGCCAGTTAATGTGGACAATCTGTACCATTGTTAATACGGAACATGTAATTTGAGTGAGATTCAATACATTTTATTTAAAATTCTGCCAGTTTTTATCCGACGAGGAATGACCCGCCTAACATATGGTCTGATTACACAGCCGATCGGAAGGTTATCTCGCGGGAGAGTTGGGGCGATCAGCGTTGCGGTGATATCATCATGAAGTTTCATGATGATTGTGCAATGTCTATTTGACATTTCAAGTTATTTTGAAAGTGTGTGATTAAAAATCAAAATCATATCCAATAGTAATGATAATAATGTTATAATGCACTTATATTGCGCCATCTATCTAGTACACTATTCCGAGGCGCATTATGATATTAAGAAAGTTGGAAGACGGGATAATACAAAATGTGTTTATAGTAACATTATAATACTTTATGCTTTCGAAAACTGAACTGTCTTTAAGTTAGACTTAAAGAATCAAGAGTTTCCAAGGAACTTATGCGAGCTGGTAATTGTTTCCATGAACAAGGTGCATGAGGTGCGCCTTACAAGCGACCCCTCTTATGTGCTCTCTCGTTTCCTTTTAATTTAAGTGTCATTTTAATGATCTTCGTGATTTCATATTTACACCAGTGGAAGAAGTTTATACCAGGAACCTACTGAAAATTTGCTGTGTTGTTATATGTATCAATTGTGAAGTTTTTAATTAAAAAACGCTTAGAGGCTTAGGCACTTTATAAGCACCGTTTAATTATTATATCATTAACAGTTGAGAAAGTATTTCTCCAAGAGATTACCTTAATCTCGTTCTTTTCTTCAACCTGAACAATGCTTCTTTATTTTCTCTTATCCTCAAGCGAGGTTTTTATTTCCATAATTTCAATACATATTTACATTAATTACTCAATGATTGAGTGAAATATATCATAGGCTAAAAATTAAAGTATATTCAACAACTCTTCCAGCTTAATATTATTTTCTTTGCTAACACATCCATACTATAAAAATACCTGAATAATGCTTTATGGCTTATATAAATAGGAAGATGGATGGGCTCATGAGGTCATGGTTCCATGCCCGCCTATAAAAAAAGGAAACTCACATTTCAATATGAAAAATTGGAGGGGAAACACCTATTATTAAAGAAAACACGGCACTTTGAGAACCCTTACTTCAAATTCGTTTCAGTACTGTCGATTCGAGCCATTGGAAACTAAATGTTCATTGATTAGTGAATAGACATTCTTATATAGATTTCAGTCTGAATTCATATTTTGAACTTAAAATAGTACGCATGAAATGTACAAATATTGATTTTAACCATAACTTGAGTGATATTTCGTTTGATTTGAGCAATCATTAATTTGTTTAATATATAATACATTTATTTGCTAAGCATTTCATGTTTACATGCTGCAAACAGCATGTAACCAGACACATACCTTTCTTTTTAAAATAAAATCGTTGTTAAGTCATATATAACTTATATTTTATCGCTTTTATATATTTGTTAGTAGCTATGTAATACCACAATATTTAAAAGAACTTATTTGAACTGTGAGAAGTTTTAGATCACAATCGTTTAGCATCATCTGACGAAGGTGTGTAAATAGCTTTCGCATCTTATCTTACCACCGAAATGTTTACTTTGTCCATTATTTTCAAACGCCCTTTTTCAATTAAACATTGCGATTTCAACATCATTAGTTGGTAGTCTTATGAAGGTCAATAATTGATATCAAAAGGAAATGAAAACATAACATCTATGAAAATAGGGATAGTCAAGATTTAAAAACATCTTCAATTAATATCATCTCCGGACAAAATACATTATCCATGCATCAAAGCGTTCAGTTTGTAAAAATAGCCCTTGTCAAAATAATCGAAACTGGTTTGTTTAATAGTATACCTATATATTTTATACTGATATCAATACAGGGTGGTATATTTTAGTTAGTTTATTGATTATTACAGTTATCTAAGAAATACGAAGGTCAAACCTCGAACAATAATTAAGTGATAATCTTTGCCATAGTTAGGTCCATATAATCTAAACATGAATAAAGGCTATAAATAGTTACCGAAACCGGGATACCGTGCATGCATGCAGAGCAACGGACAGCTGGGCAAATATCCCCGGGTAAGTTGGCGGTTCAAGAACCAGGTAATATCGGATGATGAAAATATGGCAGATTTGATAATAGTCTTTTGACCTATTGAGAAATCGTGATTCATTATCATCAAGTAAATCCTCATTACAGAACGTTACTAACTATAGGGTCTAATGGAAACAAAACGATAAATGCATTGCTGAAAAATTACCTCTGGTTGTTGAAGTTTGCATAATTATGATTATAATATCTCTCGTTATTACTGTTGATAAACTTGGAATCCCATAATTAAAAAAGCGGTGAAATTAAAGGCCAAATAACTTATAAAGGAAGGGGAAACATGCAAAATAGGTGTTTACTCTAACATTAGGTGTTTCTTTTATTTCGCCAAACAGACGAATGAATCGTCTAAAATTTTGACGTTTTAGATATGTCATAATGTTGAAGAAAACAAAAGTAGTTCCCTTTGTTTCTCGTATTTACACTCGTATGGTTCTATTAACATGATAAACAAATTAAATTGTACATTTGCGCATTATCGTCACGTTCGTTGTATCATCTAAAATCACATGGGCATTGTCTATATTTACAGCCTCGGCACGTACATAACTTAAAAGTATATAAACGCACTTAATTGAAGACATGAAATAGAAAAATCAGTGTCAACATCATTGCTAACTTGTTTAAACACGAATCAATTCGGTTCAGCATCTGTGTATTTATATAGCCCATAAACATTCCAATACAATTTTGAACAATCGCTATTAATGGCAAGATCAATATTCATGCCAGCTTGTGGTGTTTTTCTTTAAATCGATCTGTTTTTTGTGTTTACGTTGAGGTTTTTTTTAGCGAGCTTATGTTTTATCCTAATGCACTTTTCATGTTGAAATTGTGTGTAGAGAGGTACGTTTGTCATCGCAGGCGATACACGCCCCCCCCCCCCCAACAATTTACTCCACTTTTTCCAATCAGTCTCTAATAATATCATATCTCCAATTTTTACTCCAATATTGATACTCCAATACTCTTATTCAACTCTACAAGATAACGTTGGTTATAAATCAGAAACAATAATTTTCTTCCGACTTATTTACCGACAATTAACGTCTGAAACTCGTTGCTAGTTTCGTTGACAATTGAAATACATCGTGTCTACAAAAAGCGCAAAACGGATGATATATTTACAAAACTGGCCGAGTTGCCAAACAGGTGTTTTAGATGAACGAACTTTTTGACGGCGTTCGCGGAGACATTCGGCCGTAAGTTTCGGGGGCAATGCGATAAGAGAACTACTGAGAGCAGCTGTATAGAATGAGCTGCCAGGCGAATCTAAATCCACTATTTAGGAATCAGTATTAGTAATCACTCCTGCAAAACTCCAAAACAGTGGCTTGCATTAATCTTTTGAGAGTTGTATCCACTCGTTTTGAGCGTGAATTTCTACTCCGAAACAAAGTGATTTCTAAATGACTTCTTAAAGGGGAGGATATCATTATCAACTCCTGCAAACTATTCTGCATCTACCATCTTCTTTTTTACAAGAACAAAGGGCTTTTCTCTGTCTCTCTCTCTCTCTCTCTCTCTATAGAGAAAGAAAGAAAGAAATGAATAAATAAAACCCTCTATCGCACTCGGAAGCTCTTTGAAGTGAGTGCTCCCCAAATATGGTGCAAATATGCACTCGAATTAAGAGGAGTTAAGAGTTGACCTCTAGAAAAGGTCAATTGCCCCGAGAGGTGCTGCAATAATCACATTTGCATTTTTTAAGACTAGTTACCGAGGTTTAAATAATAACAATAATGACATGAGTAAACAAAAAAATAAACACAACACATTAATCATTAAAACATGAAATCCGTTAATTACAATAAAGCAGTATTTACCAATTAACAACCTGAAATTATCAGTAAGCTGCAGGTTTTGAATTAAACACTTACTATATATCCCAACTAGAGACTCAAGAGACAATATAATTAAGGACTGGTTCACAAATACATAGCATCAGACTCCACCTGCTCTGATGTCAAATATCAGATAATCATGATAATCATGATAATGGGCACTGTGAAATTCGACTCTGCAATAATTATCATTAACTTGAAAATAAACCTTCGATCAGATATCGAAACCAAAACTACACAAAGCCAAGGCCCCTCCATCAGACTTTCGAGTGCTTTCGTATAAAATGCAGTCAATGAATATATTGCACAATGCACCTGCACGCTAATAAAGGCAAAATCCACAATATTGACTGCTCATATCAGAAAATGCATTACAAGCATTGTTCATCACTTACTACTATCAAATCTCGTTGACTAAATTAGTTATTTAATTACTGTGCAAATTGAAACAACGGCTTTGAATTACACAACTTTAACAAATTCACCGCACAACATGAACCCTACATTTCAAATATATATTACACTAAGATCTCAATATTGAAATTGGAATTCTATTGCTAAATATGTTTGCATTGATCTAGTTATAAGTGAAGGTCTTTTAGATTTAGGAATACTTCTTTAAAAAATTGAGCATAAACGTAGCCGGCTGCAAATAAACTTATTAACCAGTTTACATACGACTTGATAAAAACGGGTACGCACCTAAAGAGCTCTGCTGTTGCATTTTGAACTATTCGCCAAGTTGTAGATGCTGAAACACTTGAAGTCGTCAATGCATATCCAAGTCAATAAGACGTCATTAAAACGGGAAAAGGTGAATTCAAAACGTGAGGATGACGGCACTTTTAAGATTCCAGGGTTGGAGAGCAATCCACTCCACAGAATTGAAAAGAATTTGCTCTCGAGTAGCAGCTTAATGACGATTAGAATTAGTTGCCGTCTTCCAGTGTCCACTAAGTACAGGGAAACTTAGGCGTTGCTAAACGATATTCGAGAAGGTTTCAATAATTCTAGACCAATAAAGAAAAAAAGGCCTACGACATCAGGAAACAGGCCCTCGGAAAACCTTCTCGTCTGGCGCAATCCCAAATATTATTTCATTCTGGAGGAAAAACATCTTTAACGTCTCTAGGTAAGAAGAGATAAAAGTAGATAGTCTTTCCGAAATTAAATATCGGTCAGTTTATATGAATAAATAACTTATTGCGGTCTCTGGTTGAAATTTAACCGTGTGCCGACGAACGTGCGAATGTCAGGTCACGCGCGCGTGCAGGAAACCCGGCGACGTGATTGGCTGAGAGTTCTCCACAACAGGTGCAATGAGTAGATTACAGGAACAAGTTATTGTTGTTCTTAAGTAACTTACACCAAACTATCTCCGCTACTTTTCCTAAAGAATGTTCATCAGCTGAGTAGACGCGTGCCAAGTAATTGTCACTTTTGATTGGACGAGCTATGAAATCTCATTTGCATAAAACGAGACACGTGTCTGCATACGTGCAGGCAGGGTCATGTTGTTGTTCATTCAAGAGAAGATAGTTCTAAACCTGGGCGGGGTATGAATCAACAGGTCTTTCGTGACACGCCCATAACGCCAGTCCCTCCATGCCATTGGTCGATGAGTACACGTCATTTCGGCAAAACTTCTTTGATTGGTCGATCCATGACGTACCAATAGTATCTCGGAGTTATGTCGACGAGCAAGCATCATAAACATAAAACTTTAAACCCTTCCCCCGATTTTCCCATTTTCGGATAACAATACAAAGGTCTATTCATCAATTTGATTTAGTTTATTCAATACAAATAATTTATGAAGAACAACTTCCATATATAGCTTTATCTACAAGTTATTCAAGTAATTTGCATAACAAAGCACAACACTCTTTACAATGTTCTGTCACCCTTATCCTTGTATATTAACCCCTGGTAACACGTACCTCAAAAGCCCCATTTAAAATGTGATTGGATAATAGTTTTCGTCATGACCATACGTCACGAAGTGATTGGACCAATAGGAAGCCAAGTTTGGGGGGCCCAAAAGTACGCAGCTAGAGAGACATGTTTATTCATGAATGCCTCGTCATCATTGCACATACCATATATAACCTGCTACGTAAACATCAAAGTATATTTATACCTGTTTTTCTTTCTCTTTACTCGTTTTGTCTATATTATAACGTGTCATATTTCATACGTATCGTATACTCATGGGGCTTTTACACATTTTATAGGTCCTCTGAAACGACAGTTTTGTGCGGTTATTACCAAATCGACAGGAAAGGGCTAATGTTACTAGAATTGGAAAGAAAATGCGGGTATATGCTAATTCAATTCCATCGTTCACCTGAATGGGTTCAATTCCTACAAAAGCTATAGCTAATATTTGAAATAACAAAAACAGATCAGTATATCAGAGTTTATTTTCATACCGGCCTACGCATTTCTAGCAAAACATCAGTAGTGTTTTGTCAGCAATGTTCGATCAAGATGTCACTATGTACAGTTGATTCAAAATGTCAATATATAAAAATACTTGATTTGGTGGTCTCTTCGAGTGTTAACGGTTCACCCGGCCTGCGCCCACTGTTTGACCTAGTATGGCATATCTTATGTGCTCAAGAAAATTTACCACCCCTAAGTTGGGGTGTTTTTTGGTCCCTTCCCAATTTTAGCCCCAAAAATTAAAATCTCTTTTAATGAGCCCCCCCCCCCCTCCCCCTTTCGTCATCTCTATATCTGAAGAGAATTGTTTTAGTATCTGAATCATTACCATTCGTGTTTGTTTTGTATAATCTTTCTCATTGACTTATTGTTATCATTATATGCGAATCTCTTTCCGGAAATACGAAAATACCTCAGGAATTTGTCGGTTAAACGGCACTCTTTCGGAAGGTACACTACTGGCTGGAGCGGAGATTTGGCGCATAAATATACCACAACAACACCACAGTTAATTAAATAATTATGCAATAAAAAGAATATAATCCAAATGGCGGGGAAATTTGTAGTTCTCACATTCTATTTCACACAAAAAGAGACTAGCGAACAGTCCTACATTACTTCAAACGCACAATATACTTTTCACACCCAAAAAATGCTAAGTTGATGCTTAATTACTGCTAATATGAAAATTAATCTATAAGGAAACCCCCACGGCAATGCACTCGGTTCAATTTCTTTTAATTGTTTGAGAAGTGAAAAAGGTGAAGAAAAGAAATCTGCATACAATCATCTTCGCAGAGCACGCACGGTTCAGTAACCACTGTTCCCCCATAGTTCTGGGGACGACTGCTTATAAGATGCCGTACATGCTTTGTCGGGCGATGTTGACCCATGACTTGTTTATTGCCAGATTTTCTCTTTTCGTGTCGGAATTTTCCTCCGTGACAGAAACGTGTTTGTACCAACAGAGCTTAAACTCACACATTTCTGCATGTAGGCCTATTTATTTTGATGCGGCTGTAATGCGGTTGTGATAACATTACATTCTAAACACAAAAACGTGTAGGCGACAAGTGCTTTGGAATTAAGAATAAATAAATACGTAAATAGACGCAATATTATGATAGCTAAGTTTATATTATTAAAGCGTAGGAGAGCAATGTTATTAATTAATGTGACATCGTGAGTCTAATTTGTCGACTAATTTACTATCATTATAATCATGTAATTTCCTCATACGAACGCACTATTTGGCAAACTGGTGCCGTATGTGCAATTCGATCGCACTCAAAAAAAGAGATGTTGTGTTACCTTTTTTTTATGTTGCAGAAAATAGGATCATCTACCCTTCGGCCAGTAATATCACTTGTTGTCTGTGGTTAAGTGCGCATCTCTCTCCGGAAAGACACAAATTATGATGTCAAATAGAAAATACCACAGGAAGTTGAGGAAATCGGTACTCTTTCGAAAGATGCTCAGTTGGGCTGAGCTGGAGCGGAGGATTGGCGCCTCTAAAGTTTTGGTTGAGGAAAGAGTTTCATCCGCTGTCGTCTTCTGTGGGAGTCGAATTACAAGTGTGCGGTGCTGTACGTATAAGGGGGAAAATACGGGTTTGCGTTGCGCAGATCATCGAACCGTGCACTATTTGCCTCGGTTTACATGGGACCTGGATTTCTGCCCACCCAACCATCCGTGTCGTCATCACAGTTATTCTTCGATAGCGTTATGGAGCTCATCTCCTTACCGAGGAATGTGCATGGAAATACCAATCGAAATCTATCGATTAGAGAGAGAGTAACAGCAAAGTGAGGGAAAGTTCATAGATCGTGTAGAGAGGGGTAGACGAATGAAGACAACTTGTATGATTTGTATCAAATAGAACACTACTATTTAGTTTTGTTAGAAATATTCACCTCTCATAATTATGATGCAGAGGCATGATATAATACAATATCTAAAATCTGTAATTATCATATGTCACATGACTTTACTGGAATGCGAAGAAAAAAAAGGCATGCACCGATTAAAGTGAGCGAACTATACGAGCATGTGATAGCGAGGCCGAGTAAATTATGACATCATTGCGATGGGGTGGAGCGGGGGAAATCCCCTGAATCTATGACGCGCTCTCTCTGTGCCCAATACTGAACAGGTGTTTTCCCTTTCCTATTTGCTTTTCCTCTTCAATATAGACCTTTTAGACTTTGTTGTGGGATGGAAAAAAAGCAAAGGAAAGAATTTCATTATTGACGATGGGTTTAAATAAGTGGTCACTCGACCGCACAATACATGAATACATCGTCTATTATAAAGTTTGCTACAGCATACAACACGAGGGCATGGGAACGGAAGGGGATAACTGAGCTGTTGTGGCGAAAATTTCCATGACCGTGGACAGGGGGGATTTATCGACGGCAAAGGGGAGCTCTCCCTTTAGAAAATGAAGAACAAAAAAGGAAAGAAGAGGAAGGAGGGGAGGGGTAGGGAGAGAGAAAAAAAGATAGAAAGACAGGAAGAGAGATAGATAAAGACAGAGAGAGAGAGAGAGAGAGAGAGGGGGAAAGAGAGAGATAGAGTAAAAGACTAAAAGGGGAAAGGGGAGAGTAAGAGAGGGAGAGAGAGAGAGAGAGAGAGAGTAATAGACTAAGAGGGGATTGAGAGAGAGAGAGAGAGAGAGAGAGAGAAAGACATGTAGAGAGATTTATATAATATGGAGAGAGCAATATATAGAGAGAAAGATAGAGGGTGAGAGAAGAAAGAAATGGTTGCTGGAAAGGGGATGAGAAAGAGAAATCTAGAAGAGAATCATTTCGAGACTGAAAAACAAATCTCATGATCTCGCTCCCTATAAATATATTTTTTAAATAAAAATTGTTGTAATTCCTCTGCGAATGGCCTTTAAAATACTTGTAGAAGATTACAAAAAATTGACAATCACTCGGAAAATAATGTGTTCCGTTCTGCTTCTAACATTTTATCTTCTCTGGAGCAATCATTTGTAAACACGGAAAACCTTTATTTCCTACTTGTCCTATCTTCCTCATCCTTCGTTTTTTTTTTGTTTTTTTTTTACGTAGGACGAAGATCACAAATGAGGGAATTGATTCATTTCATTCAGCATTCCATATGCACTTCAGTTCAGAACAGATTTTAATTCCCCCCCTTTATATTTACAGCCAGTATAAACATACCTCTCCAACTAAGCTGTATAGTGGCAAGGTAGTTAAATCAATTTAATCACAATTATCATTTTTCGGTGGAATAGTCAAACAGAAAGGAAAACATTGTTGAATACAGGTATTTCAGTTTAAAACAACAAATATTTGCTCTGTGATTTCTGTTTGAATATAACCACGAAGATGAGCGCTTGGCGGCGTTCACCTTTTTATTATTTCTATGTTTATTCACTGCATTTCAAAATGTTTTTAATGTAAATAAGAAACAAATAATTTCAGACTTATTATTTCAGACTTATTTTTTCTCTCCCCTTTTTTGTGGGAGGAGGAGGAACGGGAGAGACCTCTCTTTTTGTGTATGCTGCAAGTTTGATTAATAATAAACAATGGTTATATTTCACTCCATTCAGGGGGATTCATGTGCTGCTTTTTTAAATATTTGTCATCTTCATTTTCGTTTTGATGATTCCGAAACATGATTCCAAACGAATTTTAATCTTTTATTTGATCCATTCCGAATGACTGCCTCACCAAGCACACTTCGTGCTACTCGTTATTTTGGAATGTTAAAAGTCAACACTTGAAATGTGTTACTTAGACGCATTTATTATGGGAATAGACCAATTGGGTAGTAGACCAACTGGTTGTAGACCGAACGGCAATAAACAGATTTGTCTGATCATGTTTACATTTATATTATTGATTTGTGCTCTTGCGCACTTTGACTAAGGTTCAACTCAAACATTTTGTTAAAAATAGCAGTGATGAAATATAAAACCGGGTAGCTATCGTGTAATTACAAACCGTTTTTCTGAGTAATTGATTATGTAGCAATTGGGGAGAGTATGGTTGTTGTAATGTTTTGTGATTATCAATGGTATAACAAGATCGATAAACCTTGCTGAAATTACAAACGAAGAGCATCACACTAGACACATACAGTTTTACTACTCCTTTCGTCGCCCCCCCCCCCATGTTCTCTTTATCTCTCTCTCTCTCTCTCTCTTTATCTCTCATTCCCTTTTCTAATGTTTTAATTATTATTATTGATATACAGTGAAACTTGTCTATAAAGACCACCCAAGAGAGACAAGAAAAGTGGTCTTT